TTATTATTCTCATTTAGAAAAAATACAAAACTGAAAAATTAATGTAACCGTATAAATGATTTTTATGCTATCACGATAACTGTCATGATGGAAAGTATTGGGTACTTTTATCTAAAGTATCATGATAAAAGTACCAATTTTTACCACATTTACCAAATTTTATCCTACATTATGAAACACTATTTCATTGTTAATTTTACCAAAATCATTAGCAAAGCGTTTTAATAAAAATTACTGAGATTTTTAGCGTTCTCATAGAGCCAGAAACTCGGCAAATTTTAACATATTCTGCAGTTTTGAAAATTTTTTTTATTATGAATATAATCATTTGTTTTACAATATAGATAAAAACAAAATAAAAACCAAAAAACATTAGTAACTGATTTCACTAACTATTTTACCTACTCTACTTTTAAGTTTGATTGTAAGAGATTTAAATTTCAAAGGAACTGTAAAAAAAAAAAAAAAAAAAAAAAAAAAAAAAAAAAAAAAAAAAAAAAAAACATACATGAAAAACATTAAAAAAAATATAAGGAATTTATTCCAAGTGAATAATATAATATTTAAAATTTTAAACTGTATGAATTCCAGTGAAAACATTTCACTATTTATCCTTATAGTGAACCGTTACAATGTTTTATAAGAGATGAAAGAATAACGCCAATACGCAGTTTCAAATTGTAACAAACCGGAATATTCTTCAATAAAACTTTAAAAAACATAACATAATGAATACTCATTGGTATTTAAGAAGATAAAATTTATTCTAATAATTATTTTTTTTTATTAATTTCAAAACTAATTTAAATGTGGTGCGATATATAAACATAGTCTATAAAGTTTCATTAAAATAAACAAAACACACATAAATGATAATTAATATTAGTAGTATTCAAGATTGCGATTTTTATAATTCTCATTTTTATTATAAATATGTATAACCAAAACAGTATGATATAATTACAAATTCCAAAAGAACAAAGTATATTCGCTTTAAAAAAAAATTTTCAATATTAGGTAAACATGTCTACACTAACATTATATACAAAAATGTGAAACAAATAAAAATATAAAAAAATAGAAAAATATGAAAAACTTATATGGCATATTGTTGTGAAACATATCAAAAACTAAAGCAATAACTAAATGTTTATTTTTATCAAATATAAAAGAATGAAAAATTATAATATTATTTACTTACTCTTTGAGTTGGAAAGTATCTTACCTATTTTCAAAGTAATTTTACCTCCGATGAAAGTCTTAAATATTTTTTATAAAAAATAACTTACCATAACAAAAGTTATTTGTAACTAAGTGTTTCTGAATACAAATAAATTACTTATATGCATTATTAAGTGAAAAAAAAAATAACCTCACAGTACACTGATAATAAATTACATATGAATTAAAACATCTGATAGAATAAGTTATTAAAATCAGAATGTTTTGGGTTAAACAAGAACATTTTCAGATTTTAAATATTCTGAAAAGCACTAACTCTAGAATATTTAAAATGAACTAAATACAAAAAGAACAACTTACTTATGGCTATTTGATTGAGAGAGATATCTTGATAAGTTATTTGGATTTTACTGAGAATACTTTTTACGCATATTTTTAAGACACATTTGTATATTACAAAATATATATTTGTTTGATTTTCAAAGTTTTTCATTTTTAACTTCCTCAGTTTTAACTATTTGAAATATTGAACAAAACACTTTGCTTCATAAAATAAGATATATGAATATGTTTCAGAGTAAATATAATAAACTTTGCTTTCCACAAACAAAATTTGTTATAAAACAATCAAAAAGTTTTAACAATATATTTTTGTTGACTTTTATTAAAAAAAATTTAATCACTTTTAACAGCATTGCAAATTAACGAATATTTATTGTTAAAACATATATTATTTAATTTCATAAGAAAAATTAAATAAATTCAAGCACCATATGTTTTGTAAAATACATATTAATTTCATGTAAAATTAGTTTAAGTGAAATTTATCATTTAAAATAATCGATTTTTCATTAATGTATTATTTTCAAATATATTTTAGTATTAAGATATAAAAGCAAATCATATAAGTAAAAAGAACTTAGCTATATATTTTCTAAAAGCAGTTTTAATTGTTTAAATTTTAATGTCTAAAAGTATAATGAATTTTACTTAGTATAGTTGCTCTATATACTTCAATATGCATCCAGTATGGTGACAAAATCGTTAAGATAGTTTTTAATCATTTCATGATTTTAAAAAAATTTGCCAAATTGAATCGGAGTCACACTATGTGTAACCTATTTAATTATATACCTACTTTATTATAACCTATTTTATTATATACATATTTATACCAAATCCTATACAAAGTACTGAATCAACTAGCCAGCTTTAGATCATTATGGAATTAAAAACTGCCGTAATCGGAAAGTCGGAGCCATTATTAACTGAGAAGAAAAATATAGTCAAATCTATCAGAATATTGTAAAATTTACCGTGTTTCTGGCGCTATGAGAACGCCAAAAGCTCGGTAATTTTTACCGAAGCGCTTTGGTAATGATTTCGGTAAAATTAACAGTAGAATATGTTTTTGTAATATGTATTAAAATTTAGTAAATGAGATAAAATTTGGTAGTTTAATCATAATACCTCAGAGCACGCCATAAAAATCATTTATTTGGTTAAATTTACTCTTCATTTTTACTAAATGTGTGATATTAAGAACTATAATTTTGAAAAACCAGAATAACCATACATTTTGGTTTTATCAAAAATGTTTTTCATTTTTTTTCACCAGAAATGTCATTAACATACAGTACGTCAATTTTTCTGGAATTTTTTCTTCGTGTGTAATTATCCTAGACAATGTTAAAAACTTTTCTAAATTCGATTTGTTTCGCTGAACTTTTCATCTGTATTTTCGTAGTTAGATACTTCTTAAGCCATTTTAATAAAATTTCACTTTTCGTTAAATTATTGCTATACTGAAAACTGACCTTATAACATTACGAAACGGGGCTTTTTTTTAAAAAAAAATGGCTTAAATATTAAAGGTATAATGGTGGTTTTTCTATTATAATATAGGGTAAGATAACATACATATTTTAATCACATAAGAATTATATGCGAAATAATTTCTACTTAAAATTAATCAGTAACTTTTGAGCAACTTAATTGCAGCAAAATAATTTGTTAAACAAAATGTGTATTAATATGTCTTCTTTTAAATAATAAAAAAGTCGTTAAACTACATTTTTTATAGGAAACAATTCAAAATTTAGCACTTTTTTTTCTTAATATTCGGTTTTAATTCTTTGTTGTAGAAGCAGATTACACATATCACGATGAAAACTAGATTTTTTTTAAATGATAATTTTGTAGCATGTGTAAAGTTTTAAAACTAATGATAATTTATTTCTTTTAGAAAAATTGAATGTACCGTTTTCCTATTATGCTATTCCAGAAGAATAATTGAACTATTGCTTATCGTTTTCTTTTAAAAAATGTAAATTACCATAAACTATTAAGAAAGAGCATTCTAAAGTTGTAGGCAAAATTTACAAACGCATTTTAAGGGAATTTAACAAATTAACAATTGGTTTAAAATACTATGAATATATGTACTAAAAAATCTAAACTTAAAAACCTTTAAACCCTGATTTTCTTATTACGGTATTAATTAACAATGATTTTTGCAAAATAACAAACTTTAAGCATTTATTTTTAGATAAATAATTACGTAACAAATAATAATTCTATTATTAAATAAATAATACGAAAAAAAATTTCCTTAAAGGGGAAATTTCACATAATATTTGTAAATAATTTAAAATGTAAAAGCTTATCCTAAAATATTTTGAAAATAATACACGATTGTTAAATTTGTTCATATTTTAATCATAAAAAATTACTTACAACAATTACATACAACTTACAACAAAATATCGATTTATTTACATTTTTTATGGTTTTCCATGGATTAAAAACACTAATTAAATATGCAAATAATCATAATAAATAAATCATGCAAATTTTCTTTTTTAAAACTATTTCTATGTCTTCAAACAGCTCTCTATCAATTAGTAAATGAAATTTTAGATTGAACAAACAATCAAAATTTAAAGTCAAAATATTTTTTATAATGCTACAATTTATCTATCACGTTATGATAAATTTACGATAAATAATCTTTAAAAATAAAAAAGGGTTTGTTTGGTGGACTCAAGAAATTAAGTCCTTTTTATGACATGGCGAGAAGCGCTCATTTACTTAGCGTCTTTGTTTGTCAACAAATCTCTCCATGCAAGGCATCTTAAGAGAGTAATTTTTAATAAATATTTTAAGGAAAGTTTTTATAAAAATTGTAATTTTTTTAAATGCACTTAATGGAGGTTTTGATTTGCGAGCCAGTTGACTTTATGAAGAAAGTAAACACAGATTTATAAAATAAAAAAAAATCCAAACATTTAAAAGATAATTGAAAAAAAAATGTAAAAGAAAACACTTACTACTTAATTAAGCAAAATATGATTCAAAAAAAAAAAAAGAAATAGTGATAAAAATATAATTATACATTATAACGATGAAAACTGCATTCTATAATATTTTATTTCTATTTTAGTAGTAAGGTACTTAAAATTTCCTTTTTTTTTTTTTTTTTTTTCTTTTNTCACAAAAAAAAAAAAACATCTCCAACAAAAAATTGCCGGCATGATTTTCCTTTTTAATTTTATTTAAGTAAAACCTTGTTATGTCTATAACAGTAATAAAAATGTTTTGCAATATATAAAGATACACGTCTTACAGAAAAAATTTTTGCAAACTGTACGACAAATTCTGATTTTTTCTCATTTTCCTAAGGTTAAAAAAACATTTTACAACACACATTATAGAGTAACCAAATTTTAAAATATAACTTAAAATTATCCACACAAAAAAAAAAATTGTGTTAAAATTTTTTAAGAAAGAAAATAAAGAGTATAAAATATTTAACATACTTCTGCTCTCCTATTAAGGGGATTACTAAGGACAGCCAATACACTGGCTACAACGAGCACGAACTCCGTCAGCCAGGGGATCATAGCTGACCTGGCCGATCACGAAATCATGTTTTACATGAGTAAGTAACTAATACTAGACCGCTTAGCTTTTTAATATGAACTACAGAATTCAGTGTGGGGAACGCTAAGCAGTTGCCATGACAACGAATAATGGCCGTTGTTTGGTGACGTCACAACCGATTTGTGTCACTTGCAGTTAGATGACACGCCAGGACGAGCACGTGATTTACGGGACTGGGACAAACAGTGCACGACTATTTCACAACCTTGACCTTTGGCCCCTAAGGTAGGAAAAGCCCATGGAATCAAGAGTTGAATTGTTTGTAACCAAAAAAATTTTTTCCGTATGCCAACAAAAAACGAGTGAAAAGTTCCATTGATATGTGATGACACTACTTAATGATTATTCAAGCGTCTTTTTCATCGGCGTTGAATCGAGTGATGGTCAATCACGGGTACAAATCTTAAAGGGGAATAGAACTGTTAAAGTACACATTTCTAAAATTTAAAATTCAAATTATTGCTGAGTACATTCGGGGTCATAAAAAACTCTTCAAACAATTCGGGAAGCACTATTGTTACATGAGCAAAGATAATTTCAGATTTTCCTTCTTTCTTTATGACGCTTATTTTATACTAATCTTATTCTATACTAATCTAATTTTACAGTCTCAATATATTTTTATTTTACTTTTCATTTTACTCCTTTTTATTTACATTTATTTATTTGTTTCTTTTTTTAGAGTTTAAAGATTAACGATACGTTATCGCAAGTTGGAAAAATCATGTCTGAGTTGCTTGATGCTGAGTTATAATTAGATGGTTTATAATTAACTTAGTGCCATTTTTTGTATTTCAACGAGCATAATCAAAAATTTAACACATACTTACCTATAACTTACTCAATACTTAACTTACTTATAAATCTTCCTCATGAAAATATCAAATCAGTTATTTAAAATCCATATTAACAAGAAAAATTACTAAACGCATTATATATTTCTAACTAGAAACATATACACAGAAAAAAAGAGTTTCTCAAAATTGAGCAAAAAAAGTGTTAAAGTAACTCCAAAATAAATAATAATCAAATTTCAAAACCGTGTATTCATTTTTAAGCAAAATGCATGTTGAGAAGAAAATGTGTATAAGAGAGATGTTCGTTGGCAGCCGCTGGTTGCGAAGCAATAACCTCCGCGTTTCTAGTAGAATGATCTAACCACTTAAGTTACGAAAGACACAAAAACGTACTTTCTCTGAATAAACATACTTTATTTTCGATGGATTCGGATTTTTGATCCCTAAAATATGGGAGGTAGTCGCAATCGGGAAAATATGGTCCCCATAGTTTGGTCAGAAGGGCTGTCCAAAATTTGGACCCCTTAATGCTAATTTTTGCGTATTTCGCCATATCTCGAGAACTTTTCTTTTTAAGCGAATTTAAAAAAATTTTGCACACAACTATAAAATTCGTTTATCCAAAGATAATTCACTGACAAATATAACTTTTAGTAAATATTTATTATTTTTTACTATTTTATTTAATAAAATCCGAAAAAATTTTGAACTGTAGGGTATACAATTTGTTACAAAATTATAAAGAATGTAATTTAAATAGGCAAAATACAAAATATTAATGAAATCGCTTGAATAGTTCCTGAGAAATCAAATATTAAATAATCCCTATTTTAAAAATTAAATTTTATCAAGAATTATTCGACCGATTTCGCTCAAATTTTGTATTCTGTCATGTAAAATTAAACCCTTTAAAACGATGTAAAAAATTTTGCACCTTACAATTCAAAAATTTTTCGATTATTATTAAGTAAATTAATACAAAATAATAAATATTTAATGGAAAATAAATGAAAATTGTAAAATAATTTTAAAAAATAATAAATATTTATTTTGCATGAAATTATCTTTGAATAAACGAATTTTAGAGCTGTGTGCAAAAAAATTTCTATCCGCTTCAAAAATTCTCGAGATACGAAGAAATACGCAAAAAATAAAATTAACACGAAAGCTTTGGACAGCTCTCTTGACCAAAGTATGGGGACTATAGTTTGGGGGACAGAAATCCTAGTCCCTCGAAAAAATAGTATCTTTATTCAGATAAAGTACGTTTTGTGCTTAAATATAGTCTGCAGTAACTAATTAACATATTTCGAGGTGATTGAGTTCTAGAACGTGAAAATCCGATCATTAGGTGTGCGGAGGGGTGGCGTAAAAATGAAAAGAAGCGTTTGTATAAAAGGAGTTTATTTGCGTTTCCCTTTCGGGTGTAGAGCGTAGACTGTAATGGCGTACAAACATAGACTGCTTGCCAAGATGGCGTATTTACAGTGTGCCAAGTGGAGATGCTCCGTCGCCAAGAGCGTAGCTTACAAATACGGAACATCCCGCCCGGCGTTGAAATATGCATATGTTTCAATAAGGAAAAATATATATATTAAGTTACATCACTATTCTTACAAATGAAAGTAAAAGAAATAAAACAACTAAATAATCATTCAATTAGTAAATGAATACAATCAGTGTAATAATTAAACAGATACAAATGAACATTTCAATTCAACTCAAAATTATCTACAATAGGCAAAATGCAACTTTTTGAAATTGGCCTTCGAAAATTTCCTTTCGCTGTGCGAATATCTGCAACTCTAACGTTGCCATCTGAACCTGAAATTACTCTAATGATTCGACCTAAAGGCCACTGATAGGTTGGAAGTTGGATGTCCTTTACAAGAACTAGCATGCCAGGACATAAATTTTGCTTTTTGAGCAGCCACTTTGAGCGTTGTTGCAAATGGCTCAAATAACTGTTTTGCCAATGTCTCCAAATAGTTTGAACTAATTTTCGAACCCTTTGTCATCTATTTAGAAGATTGTCTCTTTTGTCGATGAAGTTAGGTTCTGGTATCGAATTTATAGGTTTTCCTATAAGGAAATGAGCCGGTGTTATAACTTGAAATTCGTCAGTATCAGTTGGTAGAGGAGTGAGAGGTCGCGAATTGAGGATACCCTCTATTTGAGTGATTACTGTTAAAAACTGTTCAAGCGTTAGTCTTGCGGAGCCTACCACTCTCTTGAAATGGTATTTAAAAGATTTCACTCCTGCCTCCCAAAGACCGCCAAAGTTGGGAGCCCTAGGAGGCAAAAATGTCCATCTGATGCCTTCGGAGGAAAGCATATTCGAAACGTCTTCGCTGCTTAACATTAGTTTGTATAAGCGTTTAAGTTCTGCGGAAGCTCCTGTAAAATTAGCCGCGTTGTCGCTAAAAATCATGGAGCTTCTGCCACGACGCGCAAAAAATCTTTTTAAGGTTGCGATTAGAGCTTCGGACGTTAAATCCGAGACATCTATGTGTACAGCTTTGGTCGCCATACATATAAATAAAGCAACATATATTTTTTGAAGAGTACCCTTTCTCTGACCCTTGTATTTAATTTCGAACGGTCCACATAAATCAATTCCTGCATTTAAGAATACTGAACTGGGTGTAACTCTTTCTGCAGGAAGGTCCCCCATAATTTGATTTGCGACAACTGGATTGTTTCTGAAGCATTCGACACACTCGTGAACGACCTTGCGTGCTGCATTTCTGCCACCAATGGGCCTATATTTTAAACGTACAGTATTTAGAAGGGCTTGAGGGCCTACATGGAAATCTCGTTTATGATAGTACTGAAATATGAACTCAACTATTTTATTTCCTGCCGGAAGAATGACTGGATGTTTCTGATTAAACTTTAAATTAGAATGCGCAAGTCTGCCACCTACCCTAATTAGTCCATCGGATGGATCTATGAAAGGATTAAGAAATTTTAGCTTACTGGTAGAGGGAACTGGCGATCGTTTTTCTAAAGCAGAGATCTCAGAAGAAAAATACTTTACCTGCACAATTTTTAAGAGTACATTTTCCGATTCCATGATTACTGTTCTTCCACATTCTTTGAAGCTTGGTTTGCGAAGGATTAACCTCAATCATCCTGAACATTTGTTTTCTATCTGCTGTAAATACATAAGCGTGTTTTCTAAATCTAATTAGGATCGAGAAGAGATCTTCTTGAAGTACTCCTCCCTTGCACAGTAAATCATTTAAAGAATGTCTACTGGAAGTTTTCGAACTCGCGTTGAAAACTACACGAAGTTTAGTAGTTTTGTTTGATGGGCGTAAGACACCGTGATGTGGTAGATAGTATCCGGTTTCGACACCTGAATTTTCCTTCATCTCTTCCATATGTTGTAATAATTCATATTCGCTGAGGAAATCTGAATAAAGCATTTGCATGGCGGGATCGCGTTCTAAACGCGTCCATAACTGGTCTAGTCTCTTTGATGCGACTGCCTTAGAATTTCCTAACATTTCTTCGGAAAAATCAGGTTTGAATGGCATTTCCACAACGTATCTACCATCCGGTTTTCTATAATGCGATTTAGCGAAATGTTCGTTACAATACTTTAATTCATCGCTGCAAGTTTCGTTTGATTCGATTTCTTCAATTTCCCAGAATCGTTTGAGAGTATTGTTAAGAATGTCTAAGTTTTTAGTTAAAAAACAATGTTTAGAAGTGTTATAAAAATTATTGTCTGAAATAACACCTGATACGAGATAACCGAAATAACTTGATTGCAAGAATGAGTTGTCTGCCAGTTTTATTTTATCGTCATTCAATAATGAAAAGAACAATTCTGCGCCTAATAGAATGTCTATTTTTTGAGGAATAAAAAATGATGGATCAGCTAATTTAACTTCCCTAGGAATGTTTAAGTTCGAAACATTTAATTTTTTAGAAGGTGTGAAATTTGTTATATTGGGAACAATTAATAAATCTATTTCCCAATGCGAATCCATATTTTCATTCGATAAAAAAGCAAATACTTTTTTCTTTATATTTAATGATGTATCATTCAAACCGCAAATAGGAATGTTTATTTTTTATTTTTTCAATCCCAAAAAGTCTGCAGCGGAGGAGGAGAGGAAAGAACTCTCGCTAGCTGAGTCAAGGACACCTCGTAAGGGTTTGAATTCTCCCCAAGCGTCTCTGACATGTATTATTGCTGTGTTTATCAAAATGCTCTTATTTCCGTTACAGAAAAACGAAAGACGAGGGTTTTCTGGCACCTGCATATTAATTGCTCCTGAATTGTTAATTTGTGGATTTCTTTCTCGAGAGAGAGTAGGCGTCGCGAGTCTGGTTTCACTTTGAATGTTATGACTAGTTGTCATGATTGACGGTGTAGAATATTCATTAAGCAATGTGTGATGATTCAATTTTTTTTTACTCACAAAACAAGCACTTTTCGAATTGCATTGATTGAAAGGAGGGAAATCGCTTAAACAATTATAGCAGAGCTTATTTTTATTCACCAAATTTATTCGTTCTGATAATTTCATCGTTTTAAATTCATCACAATGATATAATGCATGTGATGGAGATTTACACGCGAAACATAATTTTTGAAATTTGTTCGATTTAACTAAAAAGGACTTCAATCGATCAGAATTAAATTTAGATGGGATGTTCGCATTAATACTGTTTAATAATTGGTATCTTCTTTCTAAAAATTCTAAAAATGTGTCAAAATCAGGAACTTCATTATCTTCAAGAGTCAATTCAAATTGTTTACAATTTCAATTGTTTAGTTTCGCGATCTAATTTATCCAGAATGATATTTAATAAAAAAACATTAGAAAGTTTGTCTCTATTAAAATCTAGTATTTTTAATGATCTAAGATTTTTCTTGATATTGTCCAAAATATTACGAAGTTCTCTGGCAGATTCTTGTTTAATAGGTTGGATTTTAAGTATGTTTTTGATGTGGCAATCAACTATAAGTCTTTTATTTTCATATCGTTGTTCTAAGGCTTTATATAATGATTCAAAATTATAGTCTGACGTTTCTACTA